CGAAGAGGAGTACCAATCTCACACCAGCTGTCTGCTCTATTTGGTGAATGTATCCTATTCATGATGGAAGCGGCTGTCAAGCATCAAACGGGGATCCGACTGCAACGCGTTCATGATGATTTCTGGTTCTGGGACTCGGATCAAGACAAGGTAGTCCAAGCATGGCGGGTGATGAACGAATATGCCAGTTCGGTCAACCTCCGATTCAATACGGAAAAGTCTGGTTCTGCTGTGGTCAGCAACAAGGACAACAACAAAGCATCTCTTGCAGCATTTGGACCATCGCCTTTACCTCAAGCTAGAGTATGGTGGGGATCTCTGGTCTTCCGAGCGGATGGGCTTTTCCAAATTGATCATGCTTTGATTGAGCCTCACATTGAAGAGATGCGACAAAAGCTAAAGACCAGCAAGACGGTTCTCAGCTGGGTTAATGTATATAACAAGTACACCGCTTTCTTCCTGCGAAGCTTTGGATCGTGTGCCAAGGTTTTAGGCATTCAGCATTTGAATCAGATTGGTGAATGCATGCAGATGATTCAAAAACGAGTATTCCAGGAGCAAAACGGTAATGCTCTTGCTGCGTTGAAGAAGCAGTTTGAGATTTTCCAATCTACGGACATCCTAGACATGTGGGCATACTGGCCACTTCCAGCAGGAGGACTCGGCATGAAGAACTATTTGATGGATATTGGAGCATTAAGAGAGACATTCATCAAGGTAGAGCACACTGACTTTACAGATCTACCTAAGGAAGACAAGGTGCTGTGGGAAGAGCAAGAGAAGAACAAAGAGACTGCCCGCAAGGACTTACACATAACTTTAGAGGCATTGGAGGACGTGTCCAGTACGTGGTATTCTCAAAGACAGGTTCACTTGCCGCAAACGTTTGAACAATACTGTGAACTACGTGAAACCAAGCATTCTTTGTGGACCACTCGATTCCGTGAAGTGCTGGAAATTGTTGACCTTTCGCCACCAGTTGAGTTGGACGCCAATATGAATACTCAATTGGACAGTCTAGGTTTAAGCTCTGCCAATGATGTGACTTATGCCAAGCGGGTGATTAGCTATTATGACAATCAGTTAGGAAAGGCATTTGGAAGTTTAGAATTTTTGGACATGGCACTTATACCCAAGAGTTTAGTTCAATCCCTGAACAAAGCGAAGGTTCAGTGGGATGCATAAACAAAAGCAGTGTAGTAGATCCAATTCTGTATATAGGTTTAAAGGATTAAAATAAAAAGATATGTAGGCTTTAATAATGAAGTTTATGAGTAAGTGATCACAAAAGGTATTATAGGAAAGAGTGACAATTCGTGTAAGTATGACAAGTTGCATCATCAACATGCAATTAGATCAATCTGGAGAGTTTACAAAAAAAAGAAAAGAAGCAAAGAGCCGGAGCTGTAACGTAAGAACCGAGACGATAGAATCGAGTAGTAGGAGCTGAAAGGTAAGGGTTATGATATTTTAAGTCAAAACGTAAGGATTGGGACGTACTAGCCAAGACGTCATATCCAAACGCAAGGTCCGTGACATATTGATGGGCTCAAAACTAAGTTACATTTGTCACATGCTGGCTGTAGTGGCCGTAGTTGATTGGCAAGAGCTTTTTGTTGCAAAGTAACTGTGTGGCAAAGTGTTTTAACGATGCTGTGGACGCTTGCGTCAAAGCTGGCGATAGTGTGACAACTCCACCATTTTGTACAATGGTAGTGGCAAAGTACTTGATGCCGCAGTGCTTAGCGTCGTAAATCAATCATCCGGCATAAGCGATCGAATTTTGTCCACTTTATCTGCTAGTTTTTACAACATCAAGGCAGGAAGTTGTACATAGCTTACGTTTGCAAATATCTCTCTACTGTCGTCAAAGTGTTTGATGCTTGAAGGGATGAGGTAGGTGTAACATTCACTATCCTTTGTATAACCATTGCCTAAAACCTTTTTTTTTTTTCAAAAAAAAAAGAAAAAGAAAACACTATAAAAACAGTGAATTTTGAGAGCTGTTGGTATAGATTAGACACTCTCTCTACAATGATGCATAACGAAGCCGCAACTGCAAGCAAGACCTCTCTCAACCAAATCCTCTACGAGGTGACTAGCGAGAAAATCATGGAGCTCCAAAGACAAAAGAACATATTGAGCCGGCACTACAGCGGTGTACTGGAAAAGGCGGATGCTAGTAAGGACCTAGTTCAAGAGATTGAAATCTTGTATCAAGGCATCAAGGAAGCTCCAGTTCAGCACAAGCAAAATTTGAATATGGAGAGTGCCCGACTCTTCATTGAGAATGTTGCCAAGGATTCGTCTACTAGTGAACAGCTCTTACGCCATTGGATCGATAGCTTTCGAAAGGAGATGCAATACTCAACCAGAAAATGCACTTACTCTTACATTTATGGAAAGAGTCTACGTGATGAGCTTTCTGAAGCTGAAACCCCTTCTTTGGACAGTGAGTTCTATGTAGTACCGAAAAAGAAGAGGGACAATATGACTGAGCGTGAAAAGACAACCAAGGAACTTGAGGAGCGCGTTTTCGAAGCTGGACAAATTGATTCCGACGCCTTCAAGGCTTTTCTGGACAAGACTTTTGACACTGAGGAAGTGAAGATCAAGAAAGTGTTAGATTCTTCAAGAAAGGACACTCAGACGTTTTGTAAGAAGCTGCTTGAAGAAGACATTACTGTGTCTGAGCTGAAAAATTGTGTGGAAGGACTATTGGGGTGTGATTTGCTCAACGCCAAGAAGCAAACTACTTTAAGGCAGTTGATGGAAAG